GATAGTGAGACCGATAGTGAGATCGATGTGGTGCCCCGAGGTGTCCCGTGGTGGTGGCCGGGGCCGGTGCCGTGATCGGGAGCGGGGGCCAGGGCCAGGATTGGGGCGCCCGGCCGGGACCGAGAGCTAATTCACCGGGTCCGGCCAGGGGAGCCGGGACCCGGACCGGGTCGGAGCCCGCGGGCCGGGACCGGGGCCCGGCCGGAGCCGGGACCGTGGTCGGGGCTGGGGGCGCCGGGGCCGGGACTGGGGCCGGGACTGAAACCCGGGGTTGTGGCTGGAGCCCGGGCCGGGGCCGGGATTGGGACCGGGGCCGGCGTCGGGGAGCATCGCGGTGAAAAACGACCCGGCACGTGAATTGGGTGATTTTGTAGCTTATGCCAGAGCGCAGCAAATGCCAGAGTTGCATGCGTAACTATTGCGAGGCAGGGGGGTGAGATCGCAGTGGAGCGGAGAGGCTCCCACAGGGGAGTCGGTTTCGGTTTCGCGTTCGCGCCGCGCGCGCGGGCGGGGCGAAGCTTCGTGGGCGCGCGAGAGGGATGACGCCGCCGTGGCTGATGGCCGTGGAGCCGTTTGTCCGCCCCTCCGTCGGTGGCGCGGCGGTGCCCCGTCGGTGGCGGCGCCCCGTGGGTGTCGGCGCCTCGTCGGCGGCGCGGGGTGTCCCGTCGGCGGCGCGGGGGTGAGATCGGTAGTGCGATTTTGTATGAGAGCGGTATTGCGATCCGTTGCGACGTCGATAGTGAGAAGATGCATTGTGATATCGACAGTGAGATCCGTTGCGACATCGATGGTGAGCTGCTTCGTGAGATCTATACTGGGATCGGCATTGAGACCGATACTGAAATCGATACTGAGAACGATAGTGAGGCCGATTGTGATACCGATAGTGAGATCGCTGATGAGATCGATACTGAGATCGATCGTGTGATTTGTTGTGATGTCGATCGTGGTTACGAATGCGAGATCGATAGTAATTTCGATTGTCAAACCGGTGGTGAGATCGATTGGGAGATCGACAGTGAGATTTGTTGTGAGATCGTCTGTGGGATCGATAATGAGCTTGACGGCAAAATCGCTAGTGAGATCGATCTTGAGATTTCGTGCATGAGTCCGAACGTGATCTCGATTGTGAGTTTGCGTTTCAGATCTAGGGTGACATCGATTGGGTCGACAGTGAGATCTGCTGTGAGATCGATCGTGACACCGCTTACGAGATCGATAAAGAGGTCGATTGACAAATCGATAGTGAGATCGATTGTGAGATCGATCGTGTGATCTGTGGTGAGATCGATAGTGAGATCGACAGTGAGATCTGTTGCGAGATCGAGAGTGTGATCGATGCGATATCGATTAAAATGAGTCGTTGATTCCAGTTCCCCCCCCGAACCTCCGTATCACCCGAAGGGTGGTCTTATAGGTGGGAAAGAGAGTTTTTCGCGAGCGTTTGGCCCGCCTCAGATATCTAGACACTGGTAGGACAGAGATTTCGCGGGCGTTTGGCAGGGGGGGGGGGGGGAAGGATCACCCCCCTCTGGCTTGAGTGCAGGGGGGGTGGGCCACAGTAGGGCCCCCCATCCCTTGTACGGTGTAGGTGGGGGGGAGGGGGTGGGAATCTGGGGGGCCGCCCCTTCCCCCCCCTCCCAGTCATCCTCGCTCGTATGCCAGATGAGATGGTTGACGACTGAGAGGATGAGGAGGAGAAGGGAGAGGAAGGAAGGAAGGCAGCAAGGAAGGAAGGAAGGAAAGCAGGAAGGAAGGAAGGGAGAGATGGGTGGATGGAGGTAGGGAGGAGGTCAAGGAGGCTTCATTCTGGTAAGTTTCAGTGCTGCCCTGGACCCTTCCTTCCTCCTGGATGGCCCCAAAGATATCAAACGTCAAACAGCTTTTCAAAACCGTCGTTTCAGGATTCCGCGGAGGCTTCCAAGGAGGCCCCGAGGGCGAAGGGCTGCTGAGAACCCCCTTGCCTTCCTAGAAGGTCGCCACCCTCGCCCCGCTCCCTTCTGTCCGCTGCCAGCCAACGTCCCCTGAGTCCATAGAATGCCTCTAGCGAGCAGCCCGCCGAGAGTGCAGCGCAATGGAAGGCGGCGGCAGCACGCAGCAGCAGCGCATGCAGGGGGTAGAGGCGGGGCCTTCCTCTTGCGAGCGTGCAGTTGCCTGCCATCACTCTGTGAGCCCTCAGAGCGAGGCTGACTCGGACTCTTCTTACTGATCGTCAACCGTTGCATGCAGGTGGTCTCGGCCCCGCCGCCGAAAGCCTTACTCGATACACTGCCGGCACATGGGGACGCAGGGAGAGTCTGCTACATGGGTTAATGAGCTAATCCACCCTCTGCTACCCCACCTCCTTTCGGCCGCCCTGATGCCAGCCAGCCCCTCCGTTGCCCCGGGCCCCTCCGGCGGGAGGCGTGGCGCCGCTCGCGAGCATCGTCAACCAGATCGGGTGGCCGCCGTTCGGCTTCGTGGCGCTGCTGGGGGGAGATGGGGCGGCGTGGACGTGATGGCCAAGCCGAGGGAAGAAAAGGAAGACGACGACGAAGATCCATGTACCATGTTTGAAAACATCTTGTATCTCGTTCGGCATCTGGAGACCACTGGGGGAGAGGAGAAGGAGGAGGAGGAGGAGGAGGAGGAGAAGGGAAATAAGAGAAAAGGGAGGAAGACACGGAGGGAGGAAGGAAGGAGGAGGAGGTCGTCGTCGTCGTCGTCGTCGTCATCGTCGCCCTTGTGGATGTACAGTTGGATAGATTGCACATTTTTTGAGTGTCCCGACCAGCCCTCCCGTTAGGGTCCGCACAACCTACCCGTCAGGATCCGCCCGCCCGACCCGCCCGTTATGGTCCACCCGCCTGGCCCACCCATGAGGATCGTCGTCGCCGTCGTCGCCCTCTGTCATCGTCGTTATCGTCGTCGTTACTCTCGCCCTCGTCGTCGTAGTTCCCCTTGGCGTCATCGTCCCTTTAGCCCTCGTCGTCGTTGTTGTCCGTGTCGTTCTCGTAGTCGTCGCTCTCGTGGATGTCATGATGAATTGAGCGCACGCTACTTCCATGTCCCACTCGACCCGCTAGCCCGGCAGGGTCCGCCCGACCTGCCCGCCAGTGTCCGCCCGCCTAACCCGCTCGACCCGCCCGTTAGGTTGGTTGTAGCAGTCGTCGCCCTCATAGTTGTCGTCATTGTCGTCCTTCCTTCTCCCTCCCCCTCTTCCCAAATCCACCCTCTCGCCCTACATCCTTTCTCCTCCTGCTCCTCTCCCGTTATTCCCCAATCAGAGCTTGCCTTTGTAGGGGTCCTAGCGGATTAAAGGTTTAGGTGAGGTGGGTCGCCGATTTCGGTGGCCGGGCCCGGGTGCCCGGGTGCCCGGGTGGCCAGTGAGGTTGGTCGCCGATTTCGGTGGCCGGGCCCGGTTGCCCGGGTGCCCGGGTGCCCGGGGTGCCCAATAGCCCAATAGCATATAGCCCAATAGCCCAATAGTTTTATAGCCCCATAGCCCTATAGCCCTCTAGCCCTATAGCCCTATAGCCCTATAGCCTTATAGCCCGATAGCCCCATAGCCTTATAGCCCTATAGCCCTATAGCTCAACAGCATTACAGCCCTATAGCCTTATAGCCCAACAGCCCAATAGCCCTATAGCCCTATAACCCTACTGCCCTATAGCCTCATAACCTTATAGCTTTATAGCCCTACAGCCCCATAGCCTCACACAACTGTTTTTTTTTTATCTCCGGTGTCATTATCATGCTTCTCTTGTTTCTGCTTCTCATCATTCCTGCCTCCTCCTCCTTCTCCCTTCTTACATCTGATTGTACTTCCTATCCTTTCCCTCTCATCATTATGCTCGTCCTCATCTTCGTATTCCTATTCCTCCTCCTGCCGCTGCCGTTCCTCGCCCTCCTGACGGCTCCCCTCCTCGTCCTCTTCCCCGGGGTGGGGCAGGGAAGAGAGAGAGGTATGCAGGACAGGCCAGGGTACACGGAGTCCAGCTTGCGTTCAGATCGCCTTCATATTGCCTTCCGATTGTATTCAGCGTACATCTCGACTTATCGGCTTGCCGCCGTGTGATATTTTCCCACCGTGAGCTCCTCGTCGTCGTCCTCCTCCTCCTGCTCATTTCCATTCTCCAGTTCGTCCTCCTCCGCCTTCTCCCCATCCTCCTCTGCTGTTTTCTGACTTTTCTGATGTCTCGGGGCGCAACGTAGTCGCCCTCGTCGTCGTCCTCGTCCTCGCCCTCGTCGTGCTCGTTCTCGTCGTCGTCGTTCTCGCAGGGACTGTGGGGGGAAGGAAGGAGGGAAAGAAAAGGGAGGAGGGTGGCCACCCACGTCCGCCGGCGGAGGCTCGACGTGGCGCTCAGCAGGGCAGCGGGCAACTGCGGGGCAGTCATCGTCCATGGCGGGGTCCTATGCGGCGGGCACGGCTGCAGCCGCAGCGTGTGGCGAGCGAGCGCGTTGGCGCTTGGCTCCCAGGACCTTGAACACCACCCAGTCGCGTGGACGGTCGTCGCAGCAGCTGCAGAGGCGGGGCCCCCAGGGGGTTTCTCTCCGGTACAGCAAGAACCCCGAGGAATGGCACAGGGCGCTGGCGCAGTGGGGGGATGCCATCTACGACACCCTCGGCGCGGAGCTGGAAACCCGCAGCTATGAGACCTCCTGGCTCAGAGCGCCGCGGCGGGAAACAAGAACTGCGCTGGACGCAGCGGCGTGGACGTGGCGGGTGGCAGCAACCCTGATCGCCGCGGTGGCCGGGTTTTCGTGGGCCCCCGCGGCGCGCGGCCGCCGCCAGCACGGCGCGGACAGGGCGGAGGCAGCGGCGTTCTGGGAGGTCACAGACGCAGCGGATCGGCACCGGCGCAGTGGGACGCCCGAGACCCAAGCGGCCCTGCGAGGGGCCCAGCTCCAGCTCATCGGCCAGCGGGCAGCCTGTGACGCCGCCCAGAAAGAGGAGGCGCGGCGTCGCCTGGTCAGCCTCATGGGCGCGAGCCCGCCCGCGGCGGCCACGGTCCTCACGCAGTATTCGACGGAGCCCCCGGATGGCCTCCCGGCCGTTATGCGGGACCCAGAGGACGAGAGCCGCATGTGCGTGGGCACGCCGCAGGTCCTGGACGGAGCCCGCAGGTACATCCTTCTGCGCGATGACCCTCCAGGTGCCGGGAATGGGACGCTGACCACTCAGTCGCAACACGCAGTTGCCAGGGGCGTCAGCGTTCGGAGGCCCTGCGCGAGCTCAATCGTTGGGGCGCCGTCGAGGCCTACACGCTTGCCGAGGCGGTCGCGGCCCTGCGTGGGACCCGCCCCCCGGGCCCAATGCAAGGGCCTCTCGTGCGCCGTCCTTTCACTGTGCCCATCGAGGTGTCCTGCTGTCCTTACTAAGCATCACCTCCCTGAGCCTCCGCCTCGCGCTGCAAAACAAGTACCATAACCGCAAAGAGGGCCGGCCCCACGTCGTGCACGTTATCGACCGCATCATGCTTCGGAGAGGGCTGATATGTATCCTCAGGTCCCTCTATGACTTTATCAGAGCGCATTACACCGAGAGAAAGCGCCTGTGGCCCTCGGCGGCGGCAGAGGTTGCTCAGCGTCGATCTCTATTCCGCGCCATATTCAGTAACTTGAGACTACAGTGGATCCCCACGGCGGTGGCCAGCGACGCTTGTCTCAGCGAGATGGCCGTGGCACCAACGAGCCTTCCTCTGTCAGTCGTCTCGTCTATCGGGAGAGCGAGTGAGAGGTGGAGGTATCGGCTTCCTACGGCGGTTTCGACGAGAAGGTCTGCTCTCGGGGCCACGAAGGACTCGAGCGGGGACCCGTGCGAGGCCAACTTCGGGGGCGAGTGCACCGCAGGGCTGGATGTCTTCGGAGGCGTCAGGACGGTCTGGGGTTGCAAGGACCCCAGCCACAAGGAGGACCCCTGGGAGCTCAATCCGGACTTCGACGAGGTCCCGCATAGCGTGCTCAGCGAGGAGGCCTGGGCCGAAGTGTTCGCGGCCCTGTTCCACGCATCGGAAAGCATCGCGGTCTTGGAGGGGAGGTCTAGCAACGCGGCCTCTAGGCGCATCTTGCGGTCCACGAGGGCCTTCAACAAGCGCCATCTGAAGTTAGGGTGCAATCTGGGTACCGTTTTGGTCGTTCCTCGGGCCAGGCGTTTTGCTTTCGGTCTGCTCCTGCGCTGCCGCCGTGAAGCAGCGCATTCTGTCGCAGCCAATGTTCGGTTCGAGAACCGCTGGGCCCCTTCGGAGTTCAATCTCTCGGACACGGGCTCACGCCGGCGGGGGCGCGGCCATGGGGGCCTCTGCGCTGCGCCTGGGCCTGCTCGAAGAGTCGGCCAGGCGCGGGCCGCGTTGAGCAAGGAACAGCTGCGCGGCCCCCCCTTCGGGGGCCGCACGCGCGAGGAGAGGTCGTCGAGGAGAGCCGCTGCCGCGGGGGTGTTCCAGACAGTCGCCGCGGGCGCCCAGTCCTTCCTTGAGATCAGCGCGGTTGCCCCAGAGACCCAAAAGACCTACGCGGAGTGCGTGGTGGAGCTCAGGCAGTTCGTCGCAGCAAACGGCGTCTCCCTGACGACGCCTGCGACGGCCGACCTGGCGCTGGCGAGCTACGCCAACTTCGCGCGGGCCGAGGGGTTCGACGAGGGCGCGGTCCAGCGAGTGTACGCAGCCTTCGTCTCGGAGTGCCCCGACTTTCCCGTCGCGGCGGGCTTCGCCTGCAGCGGCTGTCGCGGGCGCTGCAGAGGCGGGAGAGGCTCGGCCCCGGGTTCGCCCGTCCGCCGATTCAATGGGCGATGGCCGCTCTGATCGCCGAGATCCGGATCGCGAGGCTCAAGCAGCCCATGGCGGCGCTGATGGCGCTCGCTACGTGCCTTCGCCCGTCCGAGGCGGAGGGGCCCCCGGGGCCGGACTCGGCGCCGCTGGCGACGTCGCCGCCGCTCTTCGCCGCGAGCCTGCGCCCCAGCGAGCGCGGCGAGGCGAGCAAGGCCAAGCTCTCCGACGAGTCGCTCCATATGGGCTCCGCGGAGGCCCCGCGGCTAGGCGATGCGCTCCAGAGCATGAAGGCGCGGCTGCCCGAGCGGCCGCTCTTCGGGCCCGCGGCGCTGCATCTCCGCGACGCCTGGGGCAGCGCGTTCAAGGAGCGCGGGAGGTGAGCCTCCGACGAAAGCGCCAAACGCAACGAGGCCCACGCTCTGGTCCGGCAGCAGGAGGCCTCGCCCCCCGCCGCGCTGCCCAAGGGGGCCCGAGAGGCCCGGGCAAGCTCGAGGGGCTGGTGCCGGCGCGCTCCGGGATGCGAGGGCGGCGCAGACGGCCAGCGGGGGGCTTGGTCAGCCAGGCGCCCAAGGCCCTCCGCGCCGCTTCGGGCCGCCGCCTGGCCTCGGCGCAGGCGCCCAGCCCTTCGCCGAGCTCATGCGCGGCTCCGCCAACCTCGCAGCAGCAGTCCCAGGCCCTGCGCCCACCAGGAAACAAAACCGAAGCTCCGACAACATATTTTTGCATTTGTTTGAAATTTGTTTTGGCGGCGCCG